TGCCTCCCTGGTGCCTCCCAGGCTGTCCAATTGGTCCTTTCCTGCCTCCCTGGTGCCTCCCAGGCTGTCCCATTGGTCCTTGCCTCGTAGCACAGGACTCGTGGCACAGCTTCTGAGAGTCGGGTAGTTCATTTTCCTTTGCGCCTAGGGTACAGCAGCACCCTGCACAAGGTTCAAGGCGCGACCCTGTCGCATGTAACCTTGTGGTTGGACGTCCGGCGGCGGCGTATGTAGCCCTCAGCCGCGTCGAATACGACGCCCATTGGCGGTTCGTCGGCAACCCGGGTATCCATCATTTCACCCCGGCGCGGTTTCATTGATTCTTTTCAACTTGCGCCATTTGAATCGCATGTGATTGATGCGACATGAAATTGCCGTGCAACCCGAGCAACGCTTGGCGACTTAGCGCGCCAGGAAACGTGTGCATACAAAAAATGAGTCGAATCAACACTCTCACAGTCATTCCTTGTTAGGTTGCCAGTTTCCTGGGACGAACGCCGCGGCAAAGACTTATCCACAGACACTGGCCGCGGTCTTCCTGCGCTGCCACGGGACCCGCAACGATGACCGGGCCAAAAATTGACCTGGCTCATGCCGTCGACGACAGCACTTCTCTCGTGCCCGTGACCGTATCTACATCTATATGTATCTGCCATGTCTCCTGCTATCCTTGAATGAGACTTTGTGGTCACCCTCATTCGCCCGACCGCTGATAGGACTTTGCGACCAATCGAAAGACAGCGGCCGCCTGAAGAGTCCACAGGTCCAGGTGCTGTAGCCATCTTCGCCTCGAGCCCCCGGACGGGACGCCGCGACATCGCCGCTTGCCGCCCATGGACCCGGCGGCGGAGTTGCGGTGCATCGTCGTGTGCGCAGCGTTCGTCGGGGCTCTACGTGGGGATGTGGAGGCGTCAGTGACGATGGTTCGGTTCGTCGAGTTGCGCCTTCAAGACACGCCAGCGGCCTTCGCGCCGGCCGTCCTCGCGTCCTTGCGGCGCGATTTGCACTTGGTCGTCCGGGACTTAGACAACTTACTCGCGTATGTTATCGAGTTGGAGTACAACTTGGCGACCCTGCTCGATGCCTGGCTCCACCGACATGCCCACCTATACGAAACGCAGTGAGCAGCTAACTTGCAATTATGCTTTGCCATTAGATATCCATGTTTCAGAAACTTGGGTCAGCAATGGGAATTTAGGGCGGACCCCTAAGTGGCGGCGACTTTTCCAGACGCGCAAGAGGGGATGGGAATTTAGGGCGGAGCCCTAAACCCTAAAAAGCGGAAAATTGGGTGGTAGCCTGCCACACCTGGCGGCGGGTGGGAAAAGAACTTACCGCCACATGTCTTGTGGGGTAAAAAACGACCGACAACGATAAACCGGCAACCGCTCAGATGCCACCACCCCCTCTATTTTAAAGAAAAGGGGGTGGTGCCATCTTCGCATGTGATCATCAGCTGCCACGCGGCCGAGATGGAGGAACCGTCTTCGGGATCTCATGCACCGCTGCTTCGGCGTCCATCTCGTCCTGGACGCTGATCCTCTTTCCCGCTGATTGCCATGCCAAGTACAAAGCAGCCAGCCTGATGGCATCCTTTGGACGTACGTCCGTGTCCAACCCAAGCCCATCCTTGGCCAAGTCGGCCAATGTCTTCCGGTCGACCGCGATGGCGGCCAGCATACTTAGGGGGCCGCCTACTTATAACTTGACTTGTAGCAACTTATCTATAAGCCCATGTAAGTCCACTTAGGCCTAAGTCATGTAAGGTCATTAAGTCCGTGTAATCGATCATAAGTTCAACAGCCTTGTTTCTTTAAAAAAACTTGTCACGTATGTTTTTTCTTGTTTTCGATGTTGCAAAGTGTATCAGAGCGGTCAACGCACCATCAAATACGCAATGTATATATACGTATCCCTCGCGCTCTTTCGCCACGCTTTTTCACTCAGTGGATGCAATCGAAACGTTCCGCGCCACTGCGGTGCTTGCGAGTCCGCCAGGGACACTTGTCTTGTCTATACGCCTCGTTCTCTTGAGCTCGACTGCGCGCCCCCCCAAAAAAAACACCTGAATCTAGACGTTGTGCTGGAGTCCACGAGACACCTACGAGACATCACGAGACATCTCACTATATATGTTTGTAGACGTCCCACCTTTGTTGTCCTATTGCGAGACATCACGAGACATAGCGGAGCTTTGACCCCTGTTCGACCTACGAGACATTTGCGAGACACTCGCTCGTCATTCCTTTTCTCTCCTCGCGGGCTGTACTTCCAACTGTGGCCACCGCGGGCGACACACAGGCGGTCCCGATTGTCGACTTAATGTGAAATATAGTTGTTGGTTTCAATTACTCTGCGCTCTGCGCTGTCCATGCTAGCTGGCAGGTGGATTTCTTTGAGCAAGAGGTTTTGACCGAGATGGAGAGGTTTCAGACGGCGCAGTCTCTGCAGATGGCGCAACCTGTCCAGATGGCGCCAGTCCCAACGGGGCCTGTCCAGATGGCGCGTGCGATGGATCCTCTTCAGATGGCGCAACCTGTCCAAATGACACCTGTCCCAACAGCGCCTGTCCAGCTGGCGCAACCTGTTGCCCCAGCAGTGCCTGTCCAGATGGCGCAACCAGTCCAGATGACGCCAGCAGCACCCGTCCAGATGGAGCCGATCCCAGAGGCGCCCGTCCAAATGGCGATCCCACCAGTGCAGATGGCATAGGCTGTCCTACAGAGGCCCCAATAGGCCCAGCGCGCTCTCCACGCGGGAAGCAGGGGCCAGCAGTAGACCGCAAGCGTCCAAAGCGAACTGACAGTCTGCCAGCAAGCGGCGCTCCGGCCAAGCGTCGGTCACGCACACTGTATTCTTGATTTTTCCATGTGTGTTGCGCGCACTTCCGGCAAAACGGTTTCAAACTCTATGGGTTCGCTAAGTATGGCTAACTCCGCTAAGTCCGAACTATAGATTCGCTCATTGCAGTTAACATAACTTATACATAACTTAATAACTCTACCTAAGTCCGGACCTAAGTCCACTAACCTGCCATGAACTTACATACGTTAGGGCCTGACTTAGAGACGTTATAACCTCACTTGCCATACTTATAACTGGACTTATAAGTGGGCGGCCCCCTAAGTAGCCACAGACGTGACCCCCAAGTCGTGGAGTCCTGCTTGAACCGCCTTGTCCACCGAGCGGGCTTCCAGAAGCCCTTGTAGATCTGGGTTGATGTTCCCGATCTTCTCATCCTCCATGAGCGCCATCATGGCTCTGCCCCTTTCGAGCGGTGAGAGGTGCTCCGCCTCTATAGAGTCCTCCAGACTCGGGCTTCCTGCCCTGACCCCCTTCCCAGGCCTCGAGCCGTGAGCGCCGATCACGAGTGACGACCCGAAACCACGTCCCCAAAACGCGAACCCGAAACCCGAGGTGGGGGAGGGGGACCAACCCAACCTGGTGCCCAGAGGGCCCACCTAAGACACCCCACGTCCTTTTCCAGTCAAGTGCACCTCCAGTCACGCCTCGTTTTCCGAGGACTCCATCACTGAGGATGAGGATTCCGAGGTAGCGCCCTCCTCCTCTCCATCGGTGCCCCGAAGGATCTCCGCCATCAAGCTTGGCCTTTGAGCCGAAGCAAACCCCGCAGAGCCTCTCGCCCTCTGATGCCCTGATCTCCGGCCTCTCCTGACCCACCACCACGAAGTTGTGGTAGTGCACACCTGGGATCCTGAAGCACTCCCCAACCCGATGCAAAGTTCGTCGGCGAGAACGGCCCAACACCGACATGATGTAGGCGCCCTTCGGGTACAAGCTCTCCGGCCTGTGATCTGGCTCCTCTTCCACATCACTGATCACCTCAGTCGGCGAAGGCGGCTTCGAACCCGGGGAAGTTTGGCAATGCCCCGCCCTCCTGGCGGCCCCCAGGTCCAGGTTTCAGAACCACATCGGAGGCGTCAAAGGCATCGCCATGTCCGTGGCCTCCTCCAAGCTCTTGTCATAGTTCTCCTGAAGCCACCTGATGTAGTTAATTGTTGATCGCCGACTTGTCGTCCAGGAGATCTGAAGTCTTATAGCTTCCCCTGATCTTCTGAGCCACCTCGCCCTGTGCCGTGAGCACCACCTTCTTGGTCGTGACCGCATAGTCCTCATCGACGACCTTCCCCAACGGCGCCTGACCTCCTTCGGCACCTCTGCAACCAATGCCCAAGACATCATGGTCACCGGCTCTGAGTGCTCTGACCAGTGACCTGTTCCCTCCGGGCTCATGAGCAGGCGTCTTTTGCCGTCTCTCTGCAGCAAGGACGGCAGCTCCGAAAGCAAAGCCCGTGAGTAAGACATGGCATCCGGGTACTTGGATGTGCGGTTGGGGTTATAAGTAGATAGCCTGGTTGTCCAGCTTATAAGTGCACTTACTAACCAACATAGCCTACATACTAAGTCGAACTTAGTCGGACTTAGTGTTGAACTTAGTGTTGAACTTAGTTGGACTTAGCCAAGTGGCCTATGTTCAACGTGTTGTACTTAGGTCGAACTTAGTCCAACATAGCTAAGTGCAACTAAGTAGAACATGTTCAAAAAAAAATCACTTGGCTAAGTTCGACAAGTTGGACTTATGACGCGCCAAAAGTGCTGATACTGTATCTAAAAAAACAAAAAAACAGAACACTAGTGGAACGAAAACTATAGATAAACATATTGGATTGCGATAACCATAAATCAAAAAACGCAAAAAAACACATTGTGAGAGCTACAAAAAGCGGAACACAAATATTTTCGGCTGTTGAGTATGTTTAATATATACCTGCAACGCAACGGTTGCAGTGGCGTTTTGGGTATATATTCAAGGCTTTTGACCCTTCCATGAGCATAACAAACAACCATTGGAAGTGCTATATCCTTTTCGAAAACATATATAGAGTGATCCAACCAATACATATAGAAAAACAGTCAGGAAGAGTGATCACAAACAAAAACACATCGCACAATATATACATTAAAACCATATGAGGAAGAGTAACACAAAAAGTAACACATACAGAAACATGTTAGGAAGAGTGATTCCAAAAAACTACATGGTGCATATACAGTTTATATTCAAAAATAAAACACATCTTACGTATAGAAAACAATGTTAGTAATAATGATTCAAAAGAACGTCCTACATATAGAAAAAATGTTAGTAAGAATTAAAGTGTTAACACAACGTACATATACAGTGGAACCATATTAGGAATAGTGATCTTTAAAGAATAATGATATTAAACTCTGCGCGCTTATGTGCCACCATGTGCAACCACAAAATGTGGTTCTTGCAAAGTATGATGCCACGTCGAATACCCAAACAGAATTGCTATATTCCACGCAAACAATTCTACGACGTTGGAATTGGATTTGAGCCATGGAGTACTGCATGAAATGAAATCATATATCCGCATCCCGTGAGTTGGATTTGGCCTGGGCATTGTAAAACTGTCAGATGAAATTAACTGAACATTGACGCAGTTCAGCATTGATATATGGCAAAATCACTTCCGGACGTTAGATAGTCAAACTTTATAGAGCGTTCAAGATAAAACGCAGCGATACAACACACCAATCGATGTCAATCTGCCATGCCCTGAATCCACCTATACTGCCTGTTATAACCTGTGTCAGCGAGCCGGTGCAAGGAAACACTGTTGCATTATACCACACAATTAGAACACGTGTCTCGCAAGGGTCTCAATGACACATAAACACAAGTTAACAAAACACACATAAACACAAACGAAAAACATATGCGTAAACAGGTCACACTTGCGTAGAAGAATCTGGCATGGATGAATTCCCGGTCGCCGCACGTTTTTTTTTTCATTCTCTCTGCTGCATCATCAGACTCGTCATTCCTGGCAAGTGCTCGGCTCGGTGGGATGGAACAACGGATGAAACAAATCACTGCAAACTGGTTGGCAGGGCTTGGCATTTGCGGTTTGTTGTGTATATCTGAAATTCTAGAACTACTATATATCCAACAGCAAGGAACATCCTATATATAAAAACTATTAAGAACAGTGATCCCAAAAATGAGCATTAGAATCCTGGTGCGGCCAAAAAACGTGGTTCTTGCGACCAAACAGAAGACAATATAATCATGGACCCTCTCCTGACAAACGTTTCAATTAATGAAGCGCTATGTATATATGTTTCGATGTTTAATTGAGGAACCACACAATTGTGTCTCGCAAGGGTTTCAATGACATGAACGCACTCACAAAAAAGAAACACAAACGAACAAACATATAAACGATATATGTGTCTACTATAGGTCACATCTGCGTAGAAGAATCTGGCATAGATGAATTTCCCGGTCGCCGGCCTCCGCAAATGTCCAAACACCTCCGTCATGTCTGCGTTGGATATAGCCTGGCAGCGCCAGGCTATATCCGAGCGGAACGACGCGGGGTGTGCTCGGTGGGATGGAACTATAATGGATGAGCAGGTTGGAACGGTATATACCCTGAAGGGTAGATGGCAAGAAAGATCACCCAAACCATATAGGCATTCCATCCTACCAAATCAATTGCCTGGTTCCATGCAAGTGTTCTATATATATACATTGCCGCTGTATCCCGAATCCCGAGCGCCTCTCTAGAAGCCTGCAAAAGAGTGTTCGCGTCTACAGGATCGGCGAATAGAACCCGTGAACTCCATGTCGTCGTTGGAGGCCTGAACGCTTCGTGCCATTCCATCGTATGGTTGGATATACAGGTGTGGTACAGTATGTATATACAGTATGTATATATACAGTATGGATATATATATATATATACAGTATGTATATATATATATAATGTATTCGGGCTCCGGATCAAAACAATCAGCCCTCTGGTGTCTTCAGCCCTCTGCATCCCTCAGGTTTGGTTCCTCTTCAGCCCTCTGGTTCCCTCCCTTTTGCTGTGAGAAGAGCTATATACTAATTCCACAAGTCGCGCCCGCACATTTAACACGTCCTGGATCGTACTGAGAAGTTCACACGGAGGGGCGCCTGCAGGGATTAAAACCACCAAAGTTTCATTCCTTTCAGGCGCCGGGAGCAACTCCCGCAGATAGCGTCGAGGAATGAAACAGACAAACAAAATAAACGTAAACATGTCTGAACATGTCTGAGCTGTATGAATGATGCGTCCCCTGTGCGGCGCCCCCCTCAGTGGCAACTCCTTTCAGCAAACAGGTCGAGGATTGCGTGAAACAAAGCAAACAACTTCAATCCTGCGCAGGAGCAATTCCTTCCAGCAAACAGGTCGAAGATTTCCGTTAGAATTTTTGAGGCACAATCTTTACGACTCCGTTTGGCAAAGTGTGCCAAATGAGGCAGCCATTCACGCATGTTGTTGGATACCACTTCTGACTCTTGTCAGGACGCAGTTCATTCACCCCTGACACTGGCCACACCGACACGCATGTGAAAGCTTTACCATTTTGCAAAGCATGCATCTCAACTTTGCCAAAGTTGACTTGACCATCCGTAGGATCCTCGAACAAGACCACGTCTCCAGCCATGCAATATGCACCGGAAATAAGAACTGCAGTTCTCGATGTGGACTCAAAACCCGCATTTGCAGGAGCCGCTCGCAGAGGTGGCTCCAAGTAGCACACGGTGTCTTGTAAAGGGTCAAGAGCTTGGAGCTTCTGCAGCTGCGATAGCGTGATCTCCTGTGCTGGACGCAACATGGTTCGTGTGGAAC